CTTAGCGTATATTAACGTACGATCGCTTCCTCTGACCCCTATATGTGAGTTCTTCTATCAATTATTTCAAAGGAGTCTTCAATTTAATAAACTAATTGTCAATAAACTCCCTGAAGGCATACAATGTATTAAAAAATAAATCACATATTATTTAGTCGGGTGAAACATCAACAGCATATCAATACAGGAATTATTATCTCTTGTGAATTATACACAGAAATACCTTTGAATACTAACTGAACAAATGATTTATCTATTGTCTGGTATTAATTTACAATTAATTCAAACTTAATGAAAATAATAAAGAAAATAATAAACATGGAAAGTAATGTCCAGACATACGAACAATTTTCAATAATTTTATTGAAATTTTATTTTGTATTTTATTGAGAAATTACAATAAATTTCAACATAAAAGTGTTTTACAAAAATCTACTCGTGAGTGAATTCAACTAAACCATAAATTAACATAATTAGCAAAAATATTAAACTATACACAAAACCTTTTTTCAAAACTAATATATAGTAGTAATAGTAATTGAATTAATGTTAACAAATCCTAACGAATTGCAAGTAATGTTTATCACGACAATCTTGATCATATATTTAATACATATACTTTATATGCTTGTATTATAGCCATAATGTAAGTAATTCTTCGTTTATAGACAATTAGTTTATTAAATTGAAGACTCCTTTGAAATAATTGATAGAAGAACTCACATATAGGGGTCAGAGGAAGCGATCGTACGTTAATATACGCTAAGAAAAAGGCAACAAAATTATGATAAAACATAACTTTTACTCAACAAAATACACGAAACCGAGTCATCATATTATGGATTAAAACATTGAAATAATAAACTGATAAAATCCAGACATATATAACATATTGAGAACTAGTTCACTAAATAATAAATTCATATTCAGTAAAATAATCATTTCTACACAATTATAATATCTACAGCTGGCATCGATTATCATTGAACTAACTTATTATGGACAAAATAATCTCGTTGCAATTAAATAACATTTGTTGCAATATTTATACAAATTTTAATTGATATAATGTTCAATAATGAATTACTGAGAATATTAAGCAACCATTTGAGCAATCATTATGTTTAATGGTATGAGAGGACACGTGTTTATCTCAATATCGGTGTTAAATAAGTGATGAGTTTTGAGGAAAATTATTTTATAGATATCATATACAGTAAATTGTACATGTATGTTAATTAACTTATTTTATATAACAATTTTGAACAATTTATACGATTCCTTATATTGAATAAAATTTGTATGATAATTTTATATATAGATAGCTAAAAATTTTATCAAATATGTACGGCAAAACAGTATTAAATTAAATAATTTAAATCATGGAACTTAGAAACGAGCAAATTTTGAACAATTTGTCGATTATATTATGATAAAATTAAATTTATTAATACTAAATAATTGATTAAATTGAGTTTTGTATAAAATTGAATTTTACGGTCGTCATTTCTATGTAAAAATAATTAAATTGATATAAATAAGATATACTTAAGCTGGCATATTAATTTAATATTTAAATGTCAAATGTCTAAACATGTTAATAAAATGTAATGTAAAAGATTATATAATTGTATGGATTCTCATGTAATTTATTAAATATGATAATATTATTATAATATGTTATAGTTTATAACGAATTCATAAATATATCAATAATAAAGTAAATAAATTTATACAATATTTAAATTATAATATTTTAATCAAATAAAAATTTAAACTAACGTCAAACTATGTATCAAAATATTAATTACTCAAATGCTTAATTTATTTTCAATGTTGCAATTCTGTATAAATTAAACAAAAATAACAAAAATATATTCAAATTCATTAAATTTTGTATAAATTTCAAAACGAAATTCTTAAACGCCTTTTAATTCATTGATTCATTTATTTCCCTTCAGACGACGTGGGCTTCGAGACGTGTTAATCAAGCGTTTCATTCATTATAACAATTATATAAAATCACAATTTAATATTCATTGTAAGGAATGAGTATAATTAACCTCAAAATTAGTTATAAACAAAAAATTATATGTGTTTTTGATTATTTAAATTACAATAGAGTAGATTAATGGGGAAAAGGGTTGCATTGATGTTCAAATGTAATAAATTAATATTTTCAAAGTTTGACATATTTTGTGCATTGTGTTCAATGAAAGGAATTTTCAATTTTTCAAAATTATTTTTTACATAAACTTTTAACTAAATCATCAAATAAAATAAAATATAAAATTTTGTTCTAGTATATTTTATTTGTTAGATTTCTCAGATATGTTTGATTTTTAATAAACAATTTTCACATCGATTGTTAATATTATGAATATTCATTTACCATAAGATAATTCAATACGAGTCTTCAAGAAATATATTTCCAATAAAACAATAACCATGCCCATTGCTCAAATGCTATGACCATGTTTAAGACATACATAATTATAAGCAATTCTTATTTGAAAGTACAATATTTTAAAGGAAAGTAAAGTTAAATGGATTAATGGTAACATTAAGTCCTTATTGAATACACCAATACCTGTATTACACAGTATGTCTTCAATGCAATAAATGATTCGCTAATGAATAAAATGAATTAATTTTTTCCTTCTTTTGGACACAAATTAAAAGTAAATTACAAAAAAAACTTAATAATTCTCATACTATTGAAAAACTGTTTATAAAAACATCAATTTATGTGATCTGATGTATGGATTACGAGTATAGATAGCAAAAAAGTGTGATATCGGGATCTGTATAAAAGGATTCGCAATGAATGGTCATTTCATAAATCCCATCAAAACTTATTTGAAACTCATTCAGTTTTAAACAAATTTCAAAAATGTTTATTCGGGTAATAATTATATTAAATTTATTACTGTTGTAATGAATAAAAGTTTTAAAATATATTTTTTTCTATCTCTAGTTAATTGTGTGTATATCAGTGTTGATGGTCTGTGAGGCCCAACTGCACGGTCTGCCAATCGCCAGAGCGCTGGCCATCGAAGAGAAACCCGAACCCTATTCGTACGGTTATGAGGCGACCGACAAGTTCGGCACCGTTTGGACGCGACAAGAGTCGAGTGATGGCAACGGCAATGTCAAGGGCTCCTACTCTTACCGGGAGGCCAATGGTATCGGCAGAACCGTTGAGTACGTGGCCGACCCCGTCAATGGTTTCCAGGCCCATGTGGTGACCAATGAGCCGGGCACTGTTGACCATGCTCCCGCCAACGCTCTCTATAGAACCGTTCAGAATTAAGTACAAAAAACTATATATTAATTAAATAATTATTTTCTAAAATTGTAGTCAAATTTCTTAAATAAATTATATTTCAAAAGATGTAAAGCTTTTCAAAATTTTTAATTATATTTATATTCTGTGTATGGAATTTTGAAAATTTATTTCCAAGAATATTCTGTATATTCTGAAGCAAAGTATTGTAATATTTGATATATAAATATCACAAACATTTAGTTTCAATATTTCAGTAGTAGTTATACTATTAGTGAAGTAGTTATACATATTTCGTAATCAAAATAGTTGTCAAAATCGTAATTCAATTAATGTTTAATTTATTAAACATTAGTTTCAATTGAATGAAGCATTCATTTTGACGGATGTTATAAATGTTTGCCATGTATTCAATGGCAATAATTTATGAGTGAATTAAGTGGTTATAAATCAATGGCTAGTTATATATAAAGACTGTGTTTGACGTGAAATGATATGAAAGCATCAAATAGTGGTGTAAATCAAACGATGAGAAGTTAGGCATAAGTTTTTGATAACACTTACATAACATATTGTATAAGTGCTTAGAAAACACACCATTCAGTACAGAGTATAGCATATCATCGATAGTAACGCTGATTGTGGGCTATAATTGTCATTCAGAAAAAAGTACAAACGATAAGCGATTGTTGTGGAGTGAATGCGTGCGCACGCAATGGCAAACGTCAACAGAGATATAGCGTTACGGTTTGAGTGAGTGTTTTGCGCACAAAATGCACACAACATTTGGAGTACTGTTTTGTTTGCATTGAAATGCAATACAAAATACAAAACTCAATACAAACTGTAAATGTGTTTCGCTATTGGCTTCACATATAACCAGTCAATGATCACCGCATCTGATCCATAATTGACACACCATTTGTAGGGTTAGGTGTGTCGGTGTCACCGGCGCTCACTCTATCACCACAACCGCCACAACAAGACATAACTACCGACATCTGGAAGCGATGGCATCGCGAGCGGTGACGTCGGCCACCGATGGCCACTACCGGACCGGTTATCTCGAAGTGTTGGTCCGCAACGTGTGGTATAAAGTGATGGTCAGATTAGATGACAATTGCCTTCACCTGACGCTCGACGAGAACTTCGAGACACTCAACGCCAACGTCTTGAACAACAACAACACGTCCGCCGCCGCCAACCATAGCAATGGTGTGAACGGCTCCGTCGACCGCGACGTCAACGCCATCGCCAACAACACCAACGACTACTTCTTGACACCCGATTTGGCGGACACTTTGGCCCACAAGAGGCGTGTGGTTCGCATCCAGAAGTCGGACAGCAATGGTCTGGGAATCAGTATCAAAGGCGGCCGCGAAAACAAAATGCCGATTCTTGTGTCCAAAATATTCAAAGGCATGTCCGCTGACCTGACGGGACAGCTGTTCGTCGGCGACGCTATTCTCTCCGTCAACAACACGTGGGATCTGAGAGACGCCACACATGACGAGGCCGTCAAAGCCCTCAAGAGTGCCGGCGATGTCGTCACTCTGGAAGGTATGGCCCGCACTCTCTCTCTCTCTCTCTCTCTCTCCTTATTAACCATTAATTTTCCTCTCAATATATCCACTAATTATCCCTTTTATTAAAATATTTCCTTTAAATTATTGGATTATTATTTCCCTTTATTTTTAATTAATTTAATAATTACAACAAATTTTTAACTAATAGTAATTTATAGACAATTGTTTGTCTATTTATTGCTATATTTTTAATTAAAATCTCCGATTAATTGATAGTATTTTACAGACATTTAGACTTAATGTATGAAATTTATTGAAATGATAAACAATTAGAGGTATTATAAAAATGCAGACAAAATAATAAATAAAGTCAAAACATTGTCTGAAATTAGTATAACAGTTATGTTTGAAACAAATTATCAACTTTTGTTATTACAAGCGATTAAAAGTTAATATTATTTTTAATCGTTTAAATAAACAAACGATTTAATGCCAGTTGTGTTTTATGTTTAGCAGTATTTACACAGAGAGTGATATAATTTATTTTTAATTTTAATTAAGTTTTGAATATTTGCTTCATATACTGTACACTGTGTTTACTAGAAGTTTGTATGATTTTAATGCTGTTTTTAATGGTTATTTTGCTGTTTATTTGCTTATTATTTAATATTGATTTATGTTTGAAGTTAATAATTATTTTTTCGATTTTATGTTCATTTGATTTAATGGTCGAAATCGGTTGTTGTTGTGGTTATTATTACTAATGCATGCATTCACTGACAATTCATAACACATATTGACACTAAATCTGACCAAACATTTGCGTTACAAAACGGTTTAATTGACTTGAATTGTATCGCATGTTGCAAATGATATGATACACAACCACTAAAATACAAACACTAAAACTTAACTATTTGCTGACAAAACATGACATTTGTATTGCTATTGAAATGCCATTAAACAAGTCGTGTCGTCATTTCCCCTCATTATAGTGAAGTACTTGAAAGAAGTGATTCCGTACTTCCGGAAGGCATCCATTCTGGCGGACATCGGCTGGACATTCAATGGCGAAGAATTCCTTCAACACTCAAACCAATTGAATACCGATTCAAATAACTCACACCAGAATAAAAGTGACACTAAAATAGTGCCCCTATTGTTATGCCATTTGACTAAATGCACGGACAATAAGTCCAATGACGGCAAACACGAGGACAGTGTTAACGTAATCGCCATTTACTCACCGAATCGGCAGTCAAAGTGTGTCCTAAGATGTGTGGATTCGGCCCAATGTAGCGCTTGGTTCAGCGCTATTCACTCGGCCTCCTGTCAGCTCATGGCTCAGGCCGTCGTACAAACCAATGAAATATTGACCGACTTTTTAGACGGCGCCCGACTATCACACATGGGATGGCTCTTTGAACGGGTATCACATTTTGCTTCTGTGTTTTAAATTGAATATACATTTTATTATTGAATGTAAGAACTAATTAGCAATTACTTTATATTGAATTGAATATAGAGTCCAGAGGTTAGCACTCATGTGAAGTGGAATCCGGTATTTCTGGCGGTGACGGACAGAGACCTACTTTTCTACGATTTGGTGCCGTGGACTCGGGACGCGTGGGCCGTTCCCGTCCATACGTTCCCATTATTACACATCCGTTTAGTGCACAACAGTTCAACCAATTTAGGTCTAACCATGTCTTCAAAGTCGACCAATTCTGGCGGTACTCTCATTATACCGGGCGTTACGGATGTCATCACATTTACGCTAAGGTTTGGCACAAGACATGGCATCGATTGTCGTATAATGCGTGCCGAAAGCCACCGAGATTTGGCCAATTGGGCCAAACATATAGTACAAGCCTCACACTCGGCGGCCATTGCGCTCAAAGAGATCTGTTTCGGTATATATTTACTGCCATTTATTGGATTTGTTGTTAAAATAAACATATTTTGTTATTGCCTTAAAGCGTGCATTTATAAGAACATGGAGTCAATCATCACAATTCACATCGAGAATGGATTCACGTTAGAAGAGATTCAGACGAGAAAAATCCTATGGAGAGTGTCTTTTGAGCAGTTGAAAGGCACCGGAGATGACGGCAAACGAATTGTTTGGCTTGAATTCAATGGAGACGACGATAAGGTATGATATGCTTTAAAACGTGTCGATAATTACATTTATGTTTAATTATTTCTTAAATTATAGGAATTAGATTTACTACAAAACCCGAAGCCTTT